GCTTATTAAGGATAGTACGTAGGTATCGAGGCGTCGCTATATACTAGCTATTAAATAGCAAGCGGAAGATATCGGGGATCTTATTACGCTTTTCTATGTTATTCTTAGACTAATTCTTGCGCCTAGGCGCAGAGGCATTAGTATTAGCATTACCTATTTCCTAGGTTTCTAGTGTAGCTATGCCTATACCTATACCTGTGCCTATGCCTATGCCTATGCCTCTCGGAACGACAATAGTATCCTCGTTATCCTTATCCTAGTCTAGGTCCCTATTAATATCTTCGCTAGGAATCTCGGTATTACGCAAACCGCTTAGTCGGATCGGCTAGTATATAATAGCACCTTGTACGAGGTACTTGTATTAGTCCGCATTAGCTAGTCTACTATCTCGATTAATAACAGAGGCATAGTTAACACTATCCGGAATACGCTTAGCTCTATCGCCGATATACTAAGGGAAGAAGAAGATAGTATACGACCGCTGTCCTACGCTAAGCTTACGACTAGCACGACTAGCTCGCTATATAGTATCGTTAATGTCCTTAGTAATAGGCAGTTGCTATATAATAACGAATTTAATATCGCTAATGTTAGTGCCTATAGCGATCGCTAGGGTACTAACTATAATGCGAGTTAATAAACGAGCGCTAGGCTTCTTAAACTCGTTATATCGGAGATCCTTGTCGTAATTAGCGATATAAGCAGTATAGAAAGCGACGACTTTGTATATATTATAGCTAGTATTGTTCTAGATATACTTCTTAGTTAGATCTCCTTAGCCCTCTATTAGCTAGACAAGCTACTAACGCAGTATATAGGTTAGCTTGTCGACCTTGCCCCGACTATTAATAAAGACGATCGCCTTATCGATATTCGCGGGTATAGCCTATACGCCCTAGTCGCCTTATCCGACCGCCTTCTTTAGTAGCAGGTATAACAAATCGAAGTCGCTACTATACTTCTACGGAATAGTCTTAAAGATATATATAGTATCGATCTAATCGATACTCGTACGAATAACCTTAGTCTTAAATGCCTCGCGGCTATCGTTACGGAAGCCTCTATACTTTAAGACAAATTCTAGTATCTCCTAGGATATTGTCGTAGAGGCACCTAGCTATAGGGTATTATTGCGGAACAGGCTACGAAGGGTATAGATCTAGGCAAATTCCTTACGAAAGTCCTTCTACTTATATACTAAGTATAGCTTATCGATAGTAACGAGGCTAATACAATCGCTAATCTTCTTAAATACCTCTCGCAGTTCCGGAGTAGACGCCTATTCTAGACTACAAAAGATATAGTAATACCTACTAGCAACGATATTATCGTACATCTTTAGATCCTTACGCTTAGTCTTAGCGGAGATTATATAGTAACGTACTAACTCGACATTACCGGCTCTAGTAACTATAGACTTCTAAGTAAGCGTACGTATCGTTTAGTCGATATTAGCCTTCTACTCTTTACTAAGGCGGTTTAGAGGGATGATCTAGATATTAATGCGACTAGTTAGTATAGTATATGCCTAGTAGACTAAGCTCTTGCCGCTACCGGTCTTCTCGATTATTACTATATCGGTACCTGCGAAAACTAGGTTATATAGTACCTCGCGCTAAAGGTCCGAAGGTATATAGCCCTTATCTAGATAGAATGCATTTAGTACCTACTATAGGCTATTCTTAATAATATCCCGCTAGAAGGGGATAGCCTCTCGCTTAAGACCGGTATCCTATATTAATATCTAGATTTCCTCTAGATTAAATAGCTTATCGAGCATATAATTAGTTATAGCCTAAAAGAAGGCGGTCTTCTATTATAGATCTTAAGGAAGCTCTAGCTTCTTAGTAGACTAGTTTGGCCGCTAGCGGGTATAAGCCTTACGAGATAGAAGGATTAGTATAGCTTATAGCTAAGTGTTCTACGTACCTTGCTATTACTATTGCTACTAGCGGCGCTAGTCGTATGTCTTTACTAGACGGCCTACTAGATTCGTACTCGACTAGCCCTAACTCTAGCCCTAGTTTTTCTACTACTAGCGCCGTTGCCTACGTTAGTTCTTAGTAAGGTTAGGGTTCCTAGCTAACTAGAGAAAGCTACTACTAGCGTAATAGATCGGATCCGGAGGCGCTATACGTAGAGGCGGAAGATTAGTCTTAGTATAAGAATAGCTACATTCTATCTCTTTAGCTTGTCCGTAGTCCTTATATTTAATACTAACTTCCTCCTACTTTAAGTCTATTAATAGACCTATATCCCGCGGCGGACCTTAACGAGCGGCGGTACGTATTAACTAGTAACGGTAGATACGAAATCCGCGAACTATACGCTAAAGAGTTTAGCCTTTACCTTAGCGGGCAAGCTAGCGCTAGCGGCGCTACTCCTCGAGGCGTATAGAACCTTCGAAGCCGTCCGTAATAATATAGTCCTTCTCTAGATCTTAACGTAGAATAGGATTGCTATCGCCGGTAGCGAGGTAGGCCTACTAAGGAACCTCGATAGCTTCTTCGGTATCGTCTATAATATATAGCGACAGCGATAGCGGCGGCGGAATGCGAAATGCGGACTCGAGTCTCAAATACGATAAGCGATTAGAGCTAGAAGTCGTACTATAGAAGTCGTACTTCGGGCATAGAAGTTATTAGAACTAGTAGCGAAGCGCCGCGTTTAGTAAAGCGCCGCGTTTAGTAAAGCGCCGCGTTTAGTAAAGCGTATAGACCTTAGTAAAGCGTATAGACCTTAGTAAAGCGTATAGACCTTAGTAAAGCGCATAGACCTTAAATAGCCGCGTTTTAGCCTAGTTTACCCAATCGGCATTAGTACGTAACAACGCGACACTGTTACGTATAGCAAACACTTAGAGGTTAGAGAGCGGGCAATTCTAAGGGTCCGCGTATATTTCTGCCTATAGCGAACGATAGTAGTAGTATCGTTATAGAGGCAATCCGGACGCTATTCGCATAGCGTTTATCTTAAAGTAGTGTTTTGTAATTTTCATTCCTATATATTTAGAAATATATAGATTATTATATAGACATTAATTTTCGTCTACTTAATACCTATAATTAATTCTAATATAACTTTTACTTAAAATATATAGTTGTTATACTATTCCACCTGTTTTGTAGGTATATAAGGTTAATACTATAGCTTTGCGACATTTATCCTTAGGCTCTTCTATAAAGACTTCTTCTATATACTAGACTATATATAGAAGAGCCGAGAACCGATCGACGCTAATTGTACGTAGGTTAGGTAAAGGAAGGTAGAAGGTAGAAGATAGAAGGCAGAAGGCAGAAGGTAGAAGGTAGAAGATAGAAGGTAGAAGGTAGGATAAAGTCTATAAGAAGAGCCTAAGAAGGAGGTAGCTAGTACCTAGGCAACTGCCGCCTAAATAGCGGCTATTATTTCCGTAGAGATAGCGTCCCCTTGTTCCGCTATAGTAGGAGGCTAGACGCTCGTTACCTAAGTAGTTGCTATTATAGGTCGAGCTATCGATATAGTCGAAGGTCGTATACTTATAGTAGAGGTCGCTACTATTATTATTATATTAGGCGATTGCCGTAGAGGCTATAACTACTATAGCGATCTAGAGGCAGCTACCCTTAGCTTAGAAGGTAACTTCCTCTTTACGGGTAAGTGCCTTCTAGACCTACTTACTATAGTAGTCGTAGATAGTAAATTTAGCCTATATCTTCTTTTATAGAACTATAGGAACGAGTTCTATTATCTATATAGGCTATCGGTATACCGGTAAGTCGAGCTACTTAGAGGGATAGGTCTCTATTGCCTAGAAGTCTTATAGAAAGCGTCCTAAATAAGACCTAACCTCCGCGTTAGTAATTCGGTTAGTTTGTATATATATAGCGAAAGCGCGGTCGTTATCTATAGGGTTTATATAGATATACGTTACTTCGTATACACGGTCGCAATATAGTAAGGGGAAGTAGTTAGGCTCTTAGTCGGCTTAGCCCCGATCTAGTTACCTCGTCCTAGTAGCGTTTTAAATAACTCCTAGTAACGCGAGAGTTTAGTATAAGCGAAGCTACTAATTGTTATAGAGTTAAGATTAATAATAGTTATATAGAGGAGGAAGGCTAATTACAAAGGTAGAGCCGTCGCTCTATTAGTTAGCCAACCCCTAGACCGTTACTTCCTTGTTCCGTAACACCTTTTATAGTATAGACTTCGCCGGACGTCTGCGATCCGGATACAAATTAGTCCAATTAATGCACTAAACGCATCCTCTACCCGGTCTCTAACTTTTAGTACTACGTAGTTCGTATCGTCTTAGAATAGCCGCATTAGTCTCTTTTGCTCTAAGCCCGAGGCTTTTACCGCTTGCTATTAGGCACGACTATTCGTAAATCAGCTCCGGCTATTTATAAATTAACGGACCTAGGGCCGCTCCGGTCTCGGTAAGACTACATTATTAGTAATCTATATAGAACAACATCGTATAAAGACCTATAATGCCTGTACTAGCTGCTTAGTAGAATAATAACGTAGGAAAGAAGAATTAAGTAAATAGACGTAGAATTCGACCCTATAGCTAATCCTAACTGTTCTAGGCATACTGCCTGCCTAGCAAATGAGGTTCTACGACCCTCGCATTAACGTATAGTTCCTACTATACAATCTTAGTGTAATCTAGTATACCTGCTAGCGCCGTAGGTACTAGTAGAGCCCTCGGAGCGGGCGGAGGTCCTTCCTAAGTAGGTAAATAAGTAGATACAGGGTTTCTATCGCACTGCCTATGCTTGTAATAGCTAGAGTAGCAGTCTACGTTATCTTTAACGCACTTGCACCTCCTGCAGGCCGTTTTGCATGTGCAGCCCTAGAATAGCGACAGTAAGGTGTGTATAATAGCGACGGTGAGGTGGAAAACAGCTATCTAGCGGTAGAGGACATAACTAACAAATTTGCCTTAGGCCTCCTCCGCGATCGGACGACTGATTTGTGAATAGCCGGAGCTGATTTACGAATAGTCGCGCCCCTTGCTATTCCATCCACGGCTCCCATCCGAGAGCTTCATACATCGCATCGACCAACTGCCCAAGTGTCGGATTGGAAAGCTTGACTGGCACATACTGCTTGTACAATCCTGCCTGGTGAGGGTCATCCGACGGCATCTGCAAGATGAAACTCTCCACACGATATGCTCCAGCATACAGGAACATCCTCCGCCATGAGGATCCCGGTGCGTTCCAGCTCTTGCGTCGAAGCGGAAAACTTTGGAATATGAAGCTCAGGTACACCGACGTGACCACGTCGAAGGGATTCGCCGAGAGAAAAATGCGCATGTGGCTCTGCGCCGAAAGGGCGAGAGCGCTCCGGCGTACCATCGGGTTCTCGTTGGAATCTTCTGCTTTGGAGTTTTCCTTCGGGTGTGCGCAGAAGATAGCGGCTTGGAGGGGCGTGGAGTTTGCGATGGTGTCGCGAAATGCTCGGCAGACGCGCTGGCAGGCGAAGATTGATGTGATTCGTTTCCTTTCGCGATTGGTCTTTAGCCGAGTCAAAAGATGCTCGTCGGAGGCGACACGCTCACCCGAAGCAAGGACCAGAATCTGCTCCAGGAGCTCGAAGGTATTGGCGACTCGTGCGCCGGCTGAGATGGGTGGAGTCGCCATCTAGTCCGTGATGTTAGTGATCAACTTGGCGATGGCGAGACGTGTCGACTTACTTCAGAGTAGGGTTGAAGGTGTGTTGTTCGAGGAAGAGTTCATAATTCGAGATTCGTTAAGCGAGAATGAGTGTGGGGCCTTCGATGGAGATCAAAGCAAACGCAAACCTACACAGAAGTGAAGCATGTGAAAGGTGTTGAAAACAATTGATTTCATTTTCAAGTAGTCTCAATACTAGGTCCCCATTCGTACTTTGCCCTAACCTGGATCTCGATGCCATAGAGTCCAAATCACCGACATTCGTTCTACGAGGCGCATGGCTGCTAAGACCAATTCCATCTGCTGTGCCTTCCACCGTCATTCAAAAGATGAGACATTCTTGCCCTCACGCTCTCAGCAATGGCCCGACCTGAGCATCATTCAGCAAGCAATCCAGCAAATCTCCAACACTCGGGTTCACAAGCTCTACCGCTACATGCCACCAGCGAGGCCGCACAGGATGACCTGTCGGTAGCTGAAAGTTCACTCCGTCCACTTGATAGGCGCCACCATACAAGTGCATTTTCCGCCACACCCAGTCTACCGCCTCCCTTGTTCGACCTGCTGTATTTGAGAGCATGATGAGTCCAACCGTCACAGATACGACATGGCCCATATCGCCTGTGTTGCTATAGATTTCGATGGCGATATTTCTCGATAGCTTGAAGGTGTGGAAATGGACCAAGTGGTTGATGTTATCGTGGCTGGGTGCGATATTCGCGGCAGGTTTTGAGCAGAATATCATGGCTTGGAGTGGTCGAGAGTTGGCAATAGTGTCCCTGAAGACTCGAGATGCGCGCTGACTGACGAAGATGGTCAGCATGGCGGGCTCATCGCGGGTAGCGTCTGGTCCTGGAGTGGCGAGGAGGATCTGCTCCAGTAGCTCAAAAGTGTGGGCTACACGCCAGCCGGCGGAGGGCTGTGAGGAGCTCATCTGCGAAATCATCAGCGCTATGAAACTCATCTATCTTTCGTGAACACGTGGTAACGTACTGACCACTCTCTGTGGCGCTGACTTTGATCCTCTATAGGAGTTGCATTCGAATGAGTCGATAAACAGAATTCCTGTACTGGAGGCATGACATGTCTGTGCTTCCCGCCAGAGTCAAGGAGAATACGTGAGCGCCATCATTGGGGGTCTTGACGTTGCGAGCAGCAACCGTGATAGTCTGAGTCGCGGAGGAACCAGTTCCACGAGGTACCTCCTATATTCCGCATTGCACATCGGCGCAGCCAGCTTTGTCAGACCTCTTTACGGTGCAGTCTCATTCCGTGGCCCTCAGTCGACATGAAGAATCTGGATCCAATACGATCCGCATCTCACACCAAGGCCGGTGCCGTCGCGGAGGAGCGACACAGTTCTCTCGGCACCTCGCACGCTCCTTTGTGCTTCATTCAATGAATCCGTGGTATCTACAGAGCCTTTGAAGGTCTGTGACGGCAGCGAGGAAGATCTGTCCATCACGCTGGTAATGCATGAGTGTGGACATGACCACAGCCCCACGGCGAGGAAGTTCAGAACCGTCGACCTCGAATGCTGTCGCCAGTTTCTGAAGATATCTTCTCGCTCGGCTTATAAGCAGCAGCTTCATGTGCATCTAGAAGGTTGGCTGGCCGGTCTATTCACCTCACTTAAGCTCTTTATACATACAAGATGGATCGTGCTGATAAGATACTTGGAAACCTGGCCTCCATTGGTACAGTCTTCGCCTGTGACTGCGCCAGCGGGAAATTCGAGCGACTTCCAGCGATTCTATGGCTTGGTCTCCTGCAATTTGTGGTCCTCTACCCAGATCATCGCACGTTACTCGCCGCGCAATGTACTCGGTCGCTTCATGCGATTGACAAGGCCGACGAGCGAGCTCCAATCGCTTGGCATGGCGAAGATTGCGACGGGACAGCTGAGACTCGCAACATGGACTCCGCAGAGATGATGAGACTTGGAGATGCGTGAGCAAACTCATAGAGATGGGAAAATTATGGGAGCATGAGGTGGAAGGAGACCTCCGTCGCTATTTCGAGAGACAAGGTACCGGGAAATGGCGGCACTTGACGGCGCAACGCCAGGAGGATCTGGATCCACAACATAGGAGCCAGCTCCGACCTCACCTCATCGATACCACTTCATGTAGTCTCTGTATCCAAGGGCCTTCTGCCCGTACGCTTCAATCTGCTGCTACAGCCCAGTCCGATATCACTGCCCTCCGCCCTGGAATGCCTGAGAAGCGTGGGAAGAACATTTTGGCCCCGACCAAGCCGCCGCAGTAGAGCCTCGCCCGTTCCCCGGCCCATCGATCGACCTTCAGCTGTCCATGCAGAGGGAAGCACGTTGAGCTCGGGCTCATACTCATATGAGGATCTAGGCTGTCTTTCATGGTCTCTCGCAAGACAGACATGTCGTCCGTGAGCGTTGAGAGGCAGAATTCATCCAGTAAAGAGCCGGACGCATAAAAGCGAAAATTAGACCTTGGTCGCGCGGTGATATGGCATAGAGACTGTAGAGAGGTCCCTAGATGTAGTGAGCGACTGAAAGAACACACTTGTCGTCCTGATCAAAGACGAGGCGCCACGATCTTGAAGAATCTCCTGCTGGTACCGCGTAGAAGGACGGGCTTTGTGAACGCACCCAGACAGGACATCATGAAGACCAACTATCGCGAACATCGTGCTGTTCAGACCGTAGAGTAAGTACGCGAGCGTCAGAGCTTCGTATCTCCTTGGCCCGGCAATTCGTGTGCGGTGAAAGGACCATTGGAAGGCGAAGGGGGGAAGAGCTGTGATATTGGAGGCAACGAGACCGTGCTACAACGATTGCTTGCACGAGAGGATCTTCAACTACGCACGATCACGATATCGCGTCGAGTTCCAGCTGTATGCTGGGCTCTACAGCACACGACATGGAATACCTCTCGCCGCTGGTCATACCGCTCCTCTCCACCTCTACGGTCGACGACCCCCCTTTCTGCTCCTCCTCCTCCTCCCCCTCCTCCTCCTCGCGGCGTCGGTCCTACCCTCCGTCAATGCTCACCGCTACTGTCACTTCGAATTGACTCGCTTTCGAGTCATATGCCGGTCAATCTCCGCCTCACCTCCGTCTTCCAATCAGCAGCCATCCTCGCTCTGGCTGACGTCTGCTCCTGCTCATTTTGATGCAAAAGCTAACTCTATTTCACTTCGTTGCCTCAGTTAGCGTGCTCAATTGAACGCAGAAGCTCTCAGTTGTGATTGCAGACCTGACCCTCCACCTATAAATATTTCCATTTCTTCTACTTTCAACCTACACTTCTTTCCTCCACTTGCAACCAACATCATCAACCAACTCTTATCTTCAACACTCTCTTCCACTATCAACCATCATCCATCATCCACCTTCCTTTATTATTAACATCAACAGCCATCAACCAGTCAAGGTATGTCACTCACCACCGCCGCCACCTTTAGCGGCGCCTTCTTACTGACCACTTGCAGGCTCTTATCAAACTCACCACCTCACTACCTCACCAACCTCACCACCTCGCCACCTCACCAACATTCAGCATCACATCAAGTAAGCGTTTCCCCACTCTTACCTGCTTCTGCCACTGACATCGTACAGATCTGAGCGCGCGGCACCAACATCATTGGTTTGCTGGCTTCCCTCGCCGTCACGCGGTGGTGCTAACACTGGCAGTCGATCGCACAGCGACTCGCGCCGCCGCAGTCACCGCCTCAGACGCGACATTGCGCCAACCGCGACATCTTCACCAAACGCCCCTTCCCACCGAAACCGACGACTTCACCAAAATCGACTTCCCACCAAATCCAAAAACTCACCAAATCCGAAAATCAGCAAATTCGCCACCACAACTCCGAAACCCGAAATCCTACGACTTCATCCTTCGACTCCACGAACCGACAACAGCAGCACAGACAGGCGTACAGGCATCGAGAGGCACCGAGGTGGCAAGAGAGGCAGAGATATGGCAGCAGATAGTGATACCCAGCGAGCAGCGAGCAAAGGCATGAAAGCGTGTTGGGGCGGAGGGCAATGGGCATGAGTATAAGAAGGATATGACACAAGATTCACGACCTCTGCTTAGCGAAGGGTGTGGTTCGCGGGTTGTTCACTCAACCGTCTGGTGCGGGTGGGTATGCTTTAGGGCCGGGTCAATCTCTGGGCGTCAGAACGTGGGTATATACCCACGCAACTGCACTGCCATTTACGGAGACCGCGCTACTTGCAACTCACCGTCTGCGACGTCCACCTCCCACTGAGCCAACTTGCTGGGCGCTGAGTATACTCAGTCAGGTCAAAAGCAGTTCGGTCTTCAGCGCGGCAAAGTCCTCTGTTTCCGCTGTGTCTTGGCGTAATATGCGGCGCAGGGGTTTCATCCGTCAGCAACGGCAGCAACTTCATCACTCACGACCGACGGTTTGGTATGACATTCATGCTCTCGCTGCTCGCTGGCTCTTGGGTTCATTGCGATATTGATTGGTGGTGGTGGTGGCATTCAGTGGTGGGCAGTTCAGGCTTCGCGGTGGCATTTAGTTGACATCTTTGTAATTTCGGTGGTGGTGTTTGGGTGCTCTCGCAGGTGGCCTCTGGTAATTTTTAATCAAACTCAATGTGCTTGCAAATCAAACTCATCAAATCGTACCTTCTCTCTCTCTCTCTCGTGTATGCTTATCAATCGTGTTCAATGTGCTTCAAAGCCTCGTTGAGATCTCCGAGCGGCTGCATTGATAGAGCAAGAGAAGACGTGCGGTCGCTGCGGCTTGGCGTCGAAGCTCGGACGACTTCCGATCTGCATTTTGGTACAGATGAAGTTGCCTCCCACCACGACCCATTCTGGTGGCAACTAATGCTAAAGCACACAACGCACCGGAGTCTCCGCTCATCCCTCAATCTCAAACGCCAATGGATCACGTCCAAAGCAAAGTACAGCCGGTATGATGTGGATCGTCTGGGCTAATCATGCTCCAGAGAAGTCCGCCTCGCTGCTACCATCCCCACCGGGCCATCAGAGTCGCTATATTTCCCTTGGTAAGAAGAATCTCCGCCTCTTATGATTTAGACCATCTCAACGAATCATACTCCAGAGAAGTCCGCCTCGATGCTACCATACCCAGCGCACCATAGCCGCTCTATTTCCCTTGGTAAGAAGAAGCTCCGCCTCGTACTCTCGGAACATCGGACGATATGTGCGCTCACCGATGATTTGCTCCCAAATTTCGCCAGCAGTCAGACTAGACTCATGATCTGGTACGAACTTCCCACAGCCGAAGATGCAATCCCCGCTATCCGTCATGCGCAGTGAAATGATATCCAAGCGATACTCTGTGCTGTAGGGATACATGTTGCGCCACGAGTAGTGCCGAGAAGCAGTCTTGCCGGGCTTGTACTTCGGTTCCATCGAGACAGTGACCTTGGGCAGTTCCCCCTTCTTGCTCATCCGCCATTCGACCTTGACATCGATGACGATGTCTTTGGAGACTCGCCAGGAGTCGGAAAGCAGGATTGCATTGCTTTGCAACTTATTTGAGATGTGCCAAGGCATTGGTGGCTCGGAGAAGAGAGCTTGGCGAAGTTTTGGCGAGTTGGCGATTGTGCTTTGGAAGGTCTTGTTGACTCGTTAGCATGATAGGAGCGTTCCGATGTCATCAGCCCGGTCGTTGCGAATCGCTTGTCGGGCAGCGCTGGAGTTTTTTGCTGGCTTTTCTGGAATTGAGACGAGGTCGAGTAAGATGTGCTCGAGCAGCTCGAATATATTTGCGAGGCGGGCGCTCGTCGATTTGGTGTCGTTGGCCATCGCGGACATGCAGCTGTCTTGCATGACAGTATCATCAAGTTCTGAAGAAGTTGATGCGCGGTGGATTGTAAGAACGCTAAAGTAGTCGATGCATTTGCCTTGATTTGCATGTGCTAGCGGGCACGGACCATCTCGAGTCCATCTTGCGCTCTACGATTTCGTCATCTTACACCACCAATTTTCCCAACAAACACCCCCTAGCAAACCCTTGTAGCAGAACGGAGAGAGAACGTGCTTTGCGTTGCTTAGTAGGTGCGAGCGGGTAGGCAAGGATATAGGTAGGTAGGCGTCTATAGTAGTATTTCTTTTTTCTTTAGTTTGTCTAGAAAAGATACAAGACTTGTGAATTGGTAGAACGGAGAGAGAAGTATAAAAGTATAAAAGACACTTAATTGCTAGAGAGGGTATCTAGTCTGTATTTAAATAGCTAGGTAATTGCTATAGGAGATATATAGATATATAGATGCGGTTTAATATACTGTCTAGAACAAACAACTCTTACTACTTCTAGAACTACCTACAAATCTCTACTAGGTACCTTATACGTAAAGTATCGTACTAGTAGTAGTTAATTCTAACTTACTAGTAAACTCTAACCGCCTACCGTTTAAAACCCCCCCCTCTTCTAACCCCTTCTTTCGACCTCCTTAAATTAATTTATTAATCTTCCTTCCTCTCTGCCTCTCTATATCCTAATTAGGGAAAAAAATCCCTCTAGATCCTCCTCCTCTTCCTCTCTATCCTTCTAAAAATTTATAAATCTACCTATTTATAATACTTGCTATAAGATAAAAATCTCTAAACTTCTCCTTTAGCTATATTAGAAAAAAAGAACTCTAGTTCGATACTATACGCGGAGTAAAATTCTTTATTTACGAGTTAGTTATTCGAATTCCGCGCTGTTTTTTTTATTATAGAAGGGGAGGGAGTTATTACTAAATTCGAAGAGGGAAGTATAAACTTAAAGATTATAAGGGCGAGTTAGAGAGAGGAAGATAGTTTTGTAGAGGTTTGGGTATAGAGGATAGGAGGGGGGAGGAGGGAGGAGGGAGGAGGGAGAGATTTTTAGGGATGCTTTGAGTCGATAACAGATGCGTTGCCGGTGGTGGAGGGTCGCGGTCCTTGGGGTTAGGATTCTAGGGAGCATGATTTGATTGGCAATTGTGGGATTCGGTTCTCTGCGCGACATCGTCTTGGGAACTAGAATTCTGGTAGCATCGACCTCAAAGTCCTTCGTACTTCGTACTTCGTCTTAACTCCAAGTACACTTCCTTACCCGTTCTCACTCGGGAAGTTTCCAGCTACTTCAAAGACTGAATGTAAAGCTTTCATACCTTTCCATGCCATGAGGTATCGACAGTCTGTCCCAGGCGGCTGGAGGGTGGATAGTGCTACATTATCGCAGGTGGAAGTTCTGATCGACTCCTGCACCATCTATATATACAATCTCTACATCGTTACAAGTTCCCAGAAGCCACCTCCTTCGGCGCCTGCTGCTCGCCATCAGACTCCTCTTCAGCCTCTTGCGAAGGAGTCTTGGCATCCGTGTCAAGACCTTCAGGCTCAAGATCTGGTTCTTCCAAGTCAATTTCTTCGCCAGCAAAGTGATCGCCGCCCGCGATCTGACTTGTCTGTTTCGCAAGATCAGAATTGTCGTGGGATTGAGTCTCTCTGCCTTCGAGCTGTGATCCAATTTCGTCGATATTGTACTCATGTTCGGGGTGAGCCGTGTCAAAGTCCTCCATACGCACTTCATTCTTTTCCTCGACGTCGCCTGTTACGGCGCCAGCCTCAACTTCACGCTGTTCCGTCTGACTACCATGTTTTGCGACACTCTCATCTGTAGCCTGCATGAGAAAGTCGAGCATTTGTTTTTCACGCCTAGAAGCGAGCAAGCGACGTTGTGCTTGTGAGAAGCTGAACTGGCTCAGAGTCTTCTCAATCTTATCCTCGACCAGCTTCTTGACATGAAAAGCCAGCGCTCTGGTGTTGAAGACGCCAGCAAATCGATAACTGAGCCACAAATACACTACGATACCCTTGTGCAGCTGTTCCAGAGCTCGAAGATACTCTCTCGTACCTGTCACTTCGGTTTCTAGAACTTCAAGAGGAAGGTTTTCAAGGTCGGCAAGGTCTCCGCCACTCTGATTCGCGATGCAGCGTGCCATATCGGGCATCAGCTTGATCCACATATCGGCGTCGCCCTTGTTGGCAGGACAGGATGTCAAAATGTTCTTGTCTGCGATCGAGAGGCCCTCGATACCCTCGATCAGGTCGGCGATCCAGACTTGGTCCTTCAATCCGCAAAGATGGAAGCGTGGGTGCATTTGACTTAGCTCGTGCAATCGTGCGAGGATGTATGAGAAAGGTGTGCCGGGTGGGAAATAACCGGCGAAGCGCTCTAGCACTGGTGCAGGAGGGAAAATGCCGGCAGATTTGATTGGTTCAGGCTCGGAGCCCATAGCAGTGCGGATTATTGGAAAGTCGAAGCGTTCGAGCGTCGTTACAAGACCAACGTTCTCGGGGGTGTCATCAGCATCTAGCATTTCTTGATCCGGTCTCGGCTCCCCTTTTGCGGCGGCCAAATCTGCTTCTGAAGCTGGAGCTTCGGCTGCCTGTGCTGAAGTTCTGAAGCGACCAGCTCGTCCTCCGATCTGCTTGATGTCTGCTATACTAAGAGTTTCTCGCTGGTAGCCGTTGAATTTTGATGATGACTCGAACACGATTCGCTTGATGGCAAGGTTGAGACCCATACCTACGGCGTCGGAAGCAACGAGGAAGTCATAGTCGTTGTTTGGGTCGTTGAACAGGCGAGCTTGCTGTGCGCGAGTTTCTGGAGGTAGTGAGCCGTAGACAGTTGCCACCTTACGTCCAGTCGACTTCTCGATCTGCTTTCGCAAGGCGTGTATGCCCATGACAGAGAAGGAGATGACGCAGTCGCCTTTTCGTAATTCTTTGAGCTTCCCGTCAAGGGACTTGTCGGACATTTGGAGAGGGGACAATCGCTCATATCGGTGGATTTCAAGCGGATCGCCCACACTTGCACATATCTCTTTGATCAGAGGCACTGTTCTCTCCTCACCACAGAGATGGACTTCTTTCGCCATGACGCCCAACAAAGCTTGCGTCCAGGCCCAGCCACGGTGGGAGTTTCCGATCATTTGAATCTCGTCAATGACCGCGACATCCATGCAACAGTTCAGCGGCGTCATCTCGACGGTGCAAGCAGTCATATCGAAAGATGAGGCGTCTGGCGTGTCAGTTGGTGCTCGCCTCTCCTCGCCAGTGATTAGGGCACATTGCCTGCCCTTGGCATTGAGCCTGGCATAGACCTCGTGGGCAAGCAGTCGCAGAGGGCCGGCATACACGCCACTTTCTGCCTGCTCCAATCTTTGCAATGCGTGATATGTTTTGCCGGAGTTGGTGGGACCAACATGAAGATGTATCGTTCGTTGCACAGCTCTTGTGGCAGGAAACCACTCGGAGGGATATCTCAGATCTGCAATGTCCTTCTGATTCCTGATGTCCGATGCAGTAAATCTCGAGCCCGTGACCTGCTCGTAGAAGTGGTACTTGATTCGATCTTCAAGGCCATTGGGACCCTTCTCACGGAAGACGTTGAATAGGTCATTCCATATGGCTTGGTCGCCTTGAGGCTCTGCACCATGCCACGGCACCTTCTCATCTGGACTGCCCCTTGTGATTTTCTGCGAGAACTGACGCCATAGTCTGCTGAAGCTCTGACTTTTGGTCTCGCCATCCCACTCGGCCCTCTCCTTGGCCACCTGGTCGAGCACAGGCGCATCCTCGACCTCTGCCTTCACTTTCGCGAGCTTCTGCTGAAGCGCATCTTCGAAAGCGTCTTCGCGATTACGTCCTTTGGACCGATCGTCAAATCTTCTCGATTCGCGACCGCCTTCTGACGCGCCATACGAAAGTTGTTCATGCAGGTGTTTTCCGGATAAGAACTTTCGGACGAGGCCTTCGCTATCGACGATTTTCCTTGGCAAAACATTTTCTCGCCCACCGTGGGCACCATGGTATCGTACTATGTTTTTAGCGCTATGCGCATATCGAAAGGCCTGCTCATCGTGCACTTTCGCGTGGCTCGCCGCTGTGGTTGCATATCGAGATCGCTGTTGCTGGAGAAGGCGTAATCGCATGCGAAGGGCACATGTGAGGCAGGTATTGGCATTCTGCGGCGAGGCGCGCATTGCACTCAACTGTGTCTATGGGAGTGGATGATGCGGTGATGCCTGTGAAATCGCGAACTTTTGCGGGACACATTTTATACGGGCGTCCATAGCGGCTCGCGTGCCATATGGGAATCGGATCAGCCACCACGAGGCACTGATATCCTTTGCTTACACTGTTGTCTTCCGTTCTCTTCTTAGTCGCATGCAACAATTGCTATAGTCCTCTGGATGCGCCCCCCAAAGCCGCCAGACCTTGAGCGCCGACGCCAACGCCAACGCCTACGCCTACGCCTACGCCTACGCCTACGCCTACGCCTACGCCTACGCCAGCGCCTACACACACCATGTCGCTCTCAATCATAGATGCCCAGCGCGACAGTAAGGCATTGCATTGCTCGCAGTCGCCTTGTATATACGTGTGCTAATCCCGAAGCAGTCATCTTGGGCACAATACGGCAGATCACACGCGGCGACGTATGTTCGACTCTCCTCCCGCTGTCCTCGCAGCCTAACCAAGCTACGCGCAGTGGAAAGTGTTGGTTGTCGACCCAGACTCCCAGAAGCTCATAAGCAATGTAATCGACCAAGACCAAATCCTCAACGAGAATGTCACCAGTATGCGCCAGCCATCTTACTCTCCACCACTGCCCTTTCTGACCCTGTCCAGACATCGAAGTCATCACCGACCGCCGGCCCACGAACCGCGATGTCGATGCCATATACCTCCTCACGCCGCAGCCACATATCGTCGACTGTGTCATGGCAGACTTCGACAAGAGGAAGTACAGAAAGGCACATTTGGTGTGGACGAGTTGTGAGTACATCCCCGCGAGATCGCGAAAGAGGACGCTGAGAGAACGCAGTATTACATCCCACCTTGAGAGACAGAATCGACAAGTCGAGTATTGCGCGAGAACAGATTGCACTCTTCAAAGTGCTCAACGTCGAGTTCTATCCCCGCGAGTCCCACCTCGTTACCTTCAGAGACCCATGGAGCTTCCCGGTGCTGTTTCACCCTGCCTGCAACAATTTGGTCAGGCAGCATCTTGAGGACCTGGCGCAGAAGGTGAGCAGAACTCCACGCTGCACTGGGAGCTTCAACTGAGCATAGAACAGATTGTGGGAGTTTGTGTCTCACTCGGCGAATACCCAACCATCCGCTACTACCGACCACAAACACCCACCCATGAGGCAAGCATATTGTGCTCCCATCTCGCTAGATTCGTGCAGGATGAGCTTGATTTGTACGCCAAATTCCATGACGACTTTCCACCCCAGACAGCCAGACCGCGTGGAGCTTTGTACATCGTTGACCGATCTATGGACCTATTTGCTCCGCTCGTGCACGAATTCACATACCAAGCCATGGCTCACGATCTGTTGCCGATCAAGGAAGGCGACAAGGTCACCTACCGAACCATTGTGAACGAAGGCCAACCGGATCAGGAAGAGAAAGACGTCGAGATCAGCGACAAAGATAAGATTTGGGTCGAACACAGGCACAGGCATATGAAGGATGTCATCGATAAAATCACAGCAGACTTCAGGAAGTTCACGTCAGAGAACGCAAACTTCACCAAGAAGGATAGCGAAGGCGTGAGTTTGAATACGATCAAGGACATGATGGCTGGGCTGCCTCAGTTCCAAGAGCAGAAAGAAGCATGGGCACTCAACTTGGGTATGGCGCAAGAAGCTATGAATCGATTCCAGAAGTTCAAGCTGCCAGATCTTGCCACCGTGGAGCAGATACTTGCCACTGGTCTTGATGAGGAGTATAAGAAACCGAAAGGCGTGGCCAACCAAGTTGTTGCCATGTTGGACGAAGACGGCATCACGCCTCCCGATCGACTGCGACTTCTCATGCTCTACACGCTCTTCCGAGACGGCATGCCACCTTCTGACCTCGAGAAGCTGATGTATCATGCACAGCTAGCACCGCAGCTGGACGGCACGATCATACGCAATCTAGACCTGGTCGGCGCACGTGTGGAGCGCAACATCAAGGATTCGCGGCCCATACCTCAGCCACTCTTTCCCAAAAAGCCTCCGCCGGGCTATACGATGGAAGAATATGCCCTTAGCAGATACGAAACAGTCTTGCAAAATCTCCTCGAAGCTCATTCGGCCAATACGCTGGATGCCAACACTTTTCCGTACACGAAGCCGCCTCTCGAGATGAATGACGGTATGGCGCAACAGCAGGCTGTCGCTTCCCTGCGCGCCAAGCCCACGTGGGCCAAGACGAGAGCAAATACCAGCAACGAGAACAGGCAACGGGTCGTTGTGTTCATGGCTGGTGGCGCTACATACTCTGAAGCCAGGGCCTGCTACACCACTGGACGCAACATTAACCGGGAAGTCTTCCTGGTCACATCACACATGCAGACCCCTTCATTGTTCACACGGCAGCTGGGAGACCTGACTACGGACAAGCGGCGGCTGAACATACCAATGGACATGCCCAAACCACAGGCGCCGCGACATTTATTCGAACCCGATGAGCAAGCCAAGCCTCGACCTGCACCTGTCTCAGCACCCACGCTGCAAGCGCAAAGAGCGCCACCGCCTCCGGTCGCGCACATGAACGCGATGAACCTTAATGGGAGAGCGAACGGCAACAGTTCGCCGGCGAAGCTGACAAAGGATCCCGAGAAGAAAGAGAAAAAGAAGCATCATTTCGGCTTCGGCAAGAGCCACAAAGATAAATGAGCTTTCGACTTTTTGCGAAGTTTGATTAATTTTTGTTGTGCATAGCGATGGCGAATAGGAGTTCGAATGGCGATCCCAGTCGCCGCCGCCGCCTCATCTGCGGGCTACAATTGCGTGCATCATCAGATACCCATGGATTGGGGGAGGAGGGAGGATGTAATGATTTGAATGAAAGAAAGAAAGATTCGAGGGGAAATAAGTTGGAGATGTTTAGCTTGGTGTGCTGATCACTGTGTCTTGTGAATCCGTGCGCTCTGAGATGCTGAAGTGATCATATCTCCTCGTCGGCTTTATTTGAGAGCACTTCTCCGGTATCGAGTGTACTCACCTCACGCACTCGAAGCTGACTCCCCTCCCCTCGCTATATGTTACCCCTGTGCATAGCTAACAAGTTGTCGGTGACGAGTTCCAGCAATCTCGTCAGCGACACCTAAGATCGAGGTCTTTAGCACGAAGGTACGTACTCTCGCACAATTTTTTTTTCAACCATCAGTGGTTTCAAATTCACGGGTAGGCGCTGGTAGGAAGCGTATGGTCGGGAGGCCGAAGAGCATTCGGAGATCAGGACGGACCTGCCTGGTTCAAATAGGTGCCTTCAGCGGGCGCGGCGTCAGTTGATGCGAGCAGGAACGAGCACTCGCAAGGAGACGCACACGTTTTTGAGGTGGAATTTGCAAGTGAAGTTAGGTGAGGTGAGATAGCTGATATTTGTGTGCGGTAGACTCGAGAGGAGCTGATGAATGAAAGGGTGGAGAAAAGGTTCGGCTTCACGTAGAAAAATGTTGGGGCTTGTGAGTTGGCATGCAGAGCTCAGAGGTGTCGTGTGAAGGCACGTCTGTCTGTTTTCATTCTTGAAGAAGATCAATGGTCAGCTGGTGTGAGAAGGGAAAGTGATAGAGGAGTGAGAATTTTCGGCTACCTTATGCCAGGGTGGTTTCGCGTGCATATGGGTCGAAAGGATTGTTGAAGATATTTTTCGGGAAATTTAGGAAAATTGATTCTGTGTCTTTCGGTACAATGCTCGCACATCTACCCGTGTAAATTCGTAGCGAGAGATCTCGCAGCTTCTGAATAATCTAGAAGTGTGAAATCGATTCTCGTCCATCTCACATGCGAAAAGCGCCAAAAGCAGGAACGCCCTGCTGCTGCCTCTGCTGCTCAATGACCGTGGCTTGGCTCTCAAGGTACTGTGCCAAGAGCGGACCCATGAGACCAGGAGATGTGCGTGCGGCATTGATCGCGGCGGAAATGCATTGGGATGGGTATACCAAGCCCAGTCTCTCCATTAACTCCTTACAAACATTGAAATGTCCGCCTCTGGCAGCTCGCACCAGAGGATCGAGTCGAGGAGTTTCGCACAGCTCGACCATACAGCCTGGGACCTGATCACGTCTTGTCAGTGTCCGGGCTTGGTGCAAAAAATGATGGAAGGGAACGGACTAGTTGAGATATTACACCATATTGACTGCCGCTTGCTGCAGCGTCGCCCAGAGATGCCAACTGCAAAGGAGGATTCGCTGCTGAGGGGAGACTGCGAAAGTTGTGTCCTTCGTCGCCTCCGTTATTCTTGCATTCGTTGCATACATCGTGGTCGCGGCAAGAAAGGCATCGCCAGCGAGTTCCTCGTAGGGGGATCTTGCCACAATTGTCGCAGCATGCAAGATGCACTACCTTGGACCAGTCATGGACGTTGACTTGAGGAGGTGGCTCGCTCGCGGCTCCATCTTGCCGCCGAGGAAGCTCTGGTGGCACGCGACTCTGTGATGATGTTGTGTCTGCCGTCGGCGGCGCACTGCTCGTGTGCTGCTCGCGAACGGCCGCAAAGGCTTCGGAGACATATAGATTGTAAGTATTCGTATTCGCTGCATACAGATCAGTCCACTTCTGGGCATTCCGCTCAAGGGCTGTAGTGACCATTGTGCACGGCATTGTTGTAGAGATGAGCGTGGTCGCTGGCGTGTGTTCCGCTCTGGAATGAGTTGCCGTTGTGTTGACGAGCATAGTCATTCGCCGTCGCGCCTGTATGCTGGGCCGTCTGACCATTCAGGTACTGCTCGGGATTGTACTGTGGACTTGCATATTGCGGAACAGCGAAGTGAGGTTCGCCGGGATGGTAGGGCGGATACTGCTGCCGCTCGAAGTCCGGAGGCAGAAATTTGTTGAACAGTGAATTGAAGAAGCGGGTCTTGGAGCCCGACATTTGGAGCTGTGGAAGATACAGACGCTACCGCATGTCGATCTGTGGCATGGCAAGGTGAGAGGGAGAAGCGTTTGCAAAGAAGAGTCATTCGTGGAAATGGTCAGCCGAGCTGGTTGCACTGGTGGCGGAACAGCTCTTGGCAGAGCAATATTGACCTTGCCTTTTTCAGGAGGTTCTGGACACTTGCGGTTTCGTGGCTCTGCTTGGCGCAGTATTCTGTGTGGTGCCCAAAATCTCGAAGCGCCCGTTGTTCACACCGAATGAAGGGGCATTGATGCGAGAAGCCCCTTGTCATGCGCCGACCAGCCTTACTTAATTGGTAGACTGAACGGACAGCCGAGTTTTGATCAAGTTGACTCATGAATGGGAATCTGCCAGTGGACTTGGAGGCATTATTGTATGAGGTCGATTTGGCGCAGTGTCCTTGTCGATGTTGGCGACGTTTCGTTACAGTAACGTACCACTTTGACCAAATAGCGCCTATTTGATTAGTATTCCATTTGGTATTTGACGAAAAAGCGGCTCTTACAGTATTGTACTAAGACAGCCCTCTTTTGCCAAATCCGCCCTCTATACGCTTAGTATGCTTAGTATACTATAATACGCTTACTATCGTATATAGGCTAAACTCTACTAGCTACTCGGAAAGTAGGTTGCCTTAGTATACTATATACTAGTAGATTCGAGCTAATGTCTTCTATAGTATATAGAAGGGCAATACTATAATATTATACTATCTTTAGATAGTAGATTAATCGATCTCGAAGTAAAGAATATTACTATTATTACTCTAACGTAATTATTAGTATATTTAGGTATACTACTATATTAGCTTCTATAGCCCTAGTAGGCGGCTTAATAACCTAGCCTATATAGTATACGGACGTACCTTTAACTAAATACTACCTTCTATAACTAAATAATATCTAAAACTAACTAAATTACGCTATTTTAATAAATAGATATTGTAAGAAGGGTATATTAGTAGGTAGATAGGGTAGTAGTAGGTACGAGTAGTATTCGATAGAGATCTAAGAGGAGAGGGAGGAAGGCAGGCTAGTTAGCCTAACGCTAAGCGCTAAGCCCTACCTAAGGTATTAAGACCCTAGCTTCACTCGAGCCTAGTTATATACTAATTACGTATAACCTCTTTAGTCCTAATATACGCTTCCCTTCTAAAGGCCGCGCCCTCGTAGCCGGTCTATGTTCTATTCTTAACCTCTATCGCTACTAACTTAGTAGGTCTAGTAAGCTTCTTAGTCCGCGCTAAATTAAACACTTAACTACCTAATTATATAACTATATCAAACCTTACCTCTAAACAATACAATATACAACTCTAACTACGCTATCTCTATATACAATAAACTATAAAGTAATATATATCTACAAGAATTGAAGGCCTTCGACTAATTATAATACGAGCGCGTCTTCCCTACTATAATAGGTAGACGTACGAGGTATTGCAGCACTGCCTCCGTTCTAAGTGATATCGTATCGAGTTCTTTACGTCTACTTTTAAAAGACCTAGCAATATCCGCTTCCGAGGGTTTGTCCGCTTCCGAGGGTTATTGTTCTTATTGTTCGTAGTTTCGCTAGCCTAAATTAGTTAGGTTTAGCAGCCTTTAAGTATTAACTAATTATATCTTTTCAAAAAACTCAGTTCTTCTAGTTTCTATAGGTAAAGGCTATTATAAGTGCAGTAGTAGAGGTTCGCCTCGCTTAAAGGGTTAGATAGATCGAGGAGTAACCTATTGTCCGCAAGATCGACCCCGGCTAGCTTAGCTCTATAGTTTTGCCCTTAGTTAGTTAGTCTATTAAGCTACTTAATCCTTTTAAGCCTTAATAGTTTGACTTAGCCTTAAAGTTTTGATTAAAGTTTTAATTAAAGGTGCCTTAGGCTCGTAGTGCAGGTAAGGTTATATCTATAGCGTAGTAATAATAGCAAGTAATATTAATAGTAGCGGCGCTAGTCGTCTTAGCGCTAACTTTACCTTCTTCCAATTTCCTTCTTTAACTAATAACAACTCGGCAACACCGTTACTAATATAGCTATATCCTTCCTTTCTTAAATAGTAATACACTCCGCAATACCGTTACTAATATAGCCGCGCCGGCCGCGCCGTTACAAGCGCGACGCCGTCCTCGCCGATCGCCTAGGCCTCGAGGCCTCGATAGAATAAAGGAATAAGAGGGGGACCTATAGGGCGCGTTAGTAAAGAGGTAGAGTCCTTAAAAGAGTATACGATTAATTAATTAACGCGTCGTAGCGCGCCTAGTATAGTCTTATTATCCTTTATTGCTAACAATTGCTTGTCTCTAATTAGTTAGCTAATAGTACCCCGGGGGTAGCATTGTTCCTAGGCGACATTATAGGCCCTTAGCCTTCTTCTTGTTCTTTACACTAGTCTAATACTTATCTAATAACTCAGTTATGTCTTTAAAAGAGGCTTTAGCTTCCTACGAGTCCTATTTAGGTAAATAGCCTTGCTATCTTAATAGGTACTCCTTCTTGCCTTTCCTAGTCCGGTACTATAGGATACGTTCTATAGACTATAGCTCTTTACTATCCGCTAGTATATCTTCGTGTTTAGTAGGGGCTTGATCCCCCTCGCGTAGGTAATATAGCTTAAGGAGGGATATATAGAAGGTATTATAGATAGTATAATAAGGAGGAAGCTATAACTAATAGGCCTATACGGAGGAGCCCTTAACTTCTCGAATACGGAATAGACTAATGTATCTTAGTGCGAGCTTAGGCCTTGTTTTACCGTTAGGTAATAGGTGCTTGCGGATGCGGAGGTTCTTAGTGCTTAGTATAACTATATCGCCTTGCTTAACGGTTATCGGTGTGTAATGTTTGTCGTAATAGGCCTTCTAATAGGCCTAGGCCTTTGCTAGTTTATTAGCTATCTTAGCGTAAATCTCTCGCATCTTTTGAACCCTCTTAATAGCCGCTAGTGTCTTAGGTATTGGTACTTAACACGCTTCCCTTTCCTTACGCTCGGCCTCGAGCGAGGTAAATAGGTCTTATAGTAAGGCAGCGTTCTAGCCTATTATAGCAAAATAAGGGGAGACCTTAGTAGATAAGTAGACACTGTTATTATACACGAATTTAGCTAGTTATAGGAGGTTGACCTAGTCCTCGGGGTTCTTATTAATGTAACTGCGTAGGTACTGCTATAGGGCAGCATTCTGCCTCTCTGTTTAACCGTTAGTCTATAGATAGAAGGCTGTTAATAGCCGATGCTTTAGTCTTAGCTATAGGCATATTTCGCTCTAATAGTGCGATATGAATGTCGTACCCCTATCGGAGACTATCCCCTTAGGGGTTCCCTAATAGGTGCAGAAGATGTTAGTCTATAGCGCCTCTACTATATTAATAGCAGTCTAATCCTTGCGCGCCGGGATGTATCGAGCGCCTTTAGTAAATCGATCTACTATAACAAGGATAGCATTATACACGTCCTTGCTACCCCTACGCCTAGTAGGTAGAAGGCCTATAATAAAGTCTATTGTTAGCTTAGCAAATAGCTTCTTCGGAATAGGGAGCGAAGACAACTCGCCGAACGGTAAGTACTTCGGTGCTTTAACTCGCTAGTATACTATACAGGTCTATATATACTCCTTTATATACCGCTTACTATTTAGCTAGTAGTATATACGCGATAGTAACTCGTACGACCTCTCTATGCTATAGTAACTAGCGAGTTTACTATTATAGTGCCTCTTTAAAAGCTCTTGTCTAATCGATTGTTTAGCGGGGACATAGTATCTGCCCTTAAACTTTAAGTAACCTTTATCGTCGATCGACTAATTGTTATTACTCTTACTAGATCGAGTCGCCCGTCTACTTACAAGCTTATTAATACGCTCGATAGTAAAGGCGTCCCTCTACTAAGCACGTAATAGCTTATCTATAAACGATTAACTATCCCTATTTGTAAGGTTATTTAATAGCACCCTCGCTATCGAACGAGGTACGCATTATATACATCTAATAGCACTAGTAGCCGGATTAACTGCATTAGTGCTTTAATCGCTATTACTATATATAGCGATATCGACTAGGGAGTTATTATAACTTCTCCTATCTGTGTCCTTAGCTCTTGCCTTAATACGCACTATTAATATAGCAAGAGTATTAATATGCTTTAAGCCGTCGCGGAGTCCGGTAAGCCGCTTATCCTACGCGTGCTTATTAACAATACGGGCTATAGCAATCTTATGCTGCAGGGTTAGAAACAAAGAATTGATGTATTAGGTCTCGCTATCGTAATTAGGTCGCCTCGATAGGCTATCGGCAGGGTTACTTACGCCTAGCCAGTATAATATATTAAAATCAAACCTAGCGAGGTAGACGGCCTATCTTGCCTATCGACCTATAACTCTAGTAACCTTAGTAATACTACGGAGGTTGTTATAGTCCGTATAGACCTGTATTATATATTAAGCCCTATCGAGGTAGTGCCTCTAGTGCTTAAAGGCCTCGATAATAGCTAGGAGCTCTTACTCGTAGGTCTCGTAGCGACGCTTAGTATTAATTATCTTCCGCGAGAAGAAGGCAATCGGGTGCTAGTAATAGTTATTATCTAATTGCTAGGACATAATAGCCGATATAGCGAACTATAAAGCGTTAGTCTCAATTCGGATCTACTTGTTTAGTACGAAATAGTATAATAAGGGGACTTTAGTAAAGCGTCGCTTTAGACCGTTAAAAGCGGCTTGTACCTTGTTAGTCTATTTGAATTCCCTAGTCGGGTTGGCCTTAGTTTTAGTAAGCTTAGTTAGGGGCATTACATGCCTCGAATAGCCCTTAATAAACCGGCGGTAGAAGTTAGCAAAACCGAGGAATAATTGAAGCTCTTTAATACTAGTAGGTATTAGCTACTTAGTAATAGTCTTAATCTAGTTAGGATTAGCCTTAACACCCTTAGTCGATACGAGGAAGCTAAGAAAGGACACCTCTTTAGTAGTAAAGGTGCATTTAGAAGGTTTGCAATATAAGCTATAGGCTCGTAGGCGATCGAGTACCTTACGGACTATAGCCTAGTGCTCCGTAATATTAGGGGAGTATATATAAACTAGGATGTTATCTAGGTAAACTATATAGAGGTAGTCTAATAGACCCGAAAGGGCCCGATTAATATAGGACTAGAATGTTATAGGGGCGTTTGCTAGACTAAATAGCATAACTAAGTACTCGAAATAGCTATAGCGAGTGCGAAAGGCTATCTTCTATTTATCGCCCTTACGAATACGGATGCGGTAATAGGCGTCCTTAATGTCTAATATAGTATAGTAGTAGGCACTAGAAAGGCGATCGAGAGTCTCGTTAATAAGTAGAAGTAGACAGCGGTCTTTAATAGTAACAGCATTAAGCCCTCTATAATTAATATATAAACGCAGGCCGCTATCCTTCTTTAGTACGAATAGGATAGGTACACTAGTAGGGCTGTTGCTGTATTAAATTCGACTATTAGCTAGGTTTTCCTCTAGATACTTACGCAGTATAGCAAGCTCTCGTTTACTAAGGTTATAGAGGGGGCTAAAAGGAACCTCCTTGCCCTCTATAATATCAATCTTATAATCCGTCTCTTTAAATATAGGCAATGTCGATGCTAGATAGTGTTTGAATATATTAATACAGGTCTCCCGAATAGGTTCTAGTATGCGCTTAAGTTGTTTAGGATCTATGCTATTAGAGGGCACTAGCTCATCGTTATTACTACCGAGTAGGTCGGTAGTCGGATTAGCTAAGGCAGGTATTAGGTTGCTAATAAACAGGACCCTAATATCGTTAGGGTACTCGCTAATATTAATGTGTTTAATATCCTCTTTCCTAGCGATTCTAAATCGCTACTTCTAGAGGCCTAGGTCTATAGCTATAGCGTAGTACTTAAGAACAGGGTTGCTAATAACAATAGTAGCTCCCCTATACAGGTTGTCTATATCTACTACGTAGGTAGTAAAGTCTAGTAGGCGTTCATTTCCGAGGTCGTCCTTTAGAGCTATAGGAATATAGTAGGCCCTATAGGTCAAGTGCCGAGCGTTATTAAACTAAGCAAGGGTTAGTAGGTTAGTCCTCGGCAGTTGTCGAAGGTCTAATTGCTTAGCTAGGCGATAGCTAATAAGGGCACTAACTGAATTTCCTAGATCTAGCATAACCTTAGTTTAATAGCTAGTGCCCTTCGTGTCCTATATAAGGTAGGAGCGTATTATAGCTAGCACAATGTCGATAGTCTTACGCCGCATAAGGCTAATAGTTAGTACGGCGCTTACTCTTTTTTCGACTAATTAAAAGAGCCGACTAGGGTAGTATTAGCGGCTAAAAGATGTTTCCTATACTTAGCGGAAGCACGGTTAATTCGGGCCTAGTCCTTAGGTTTGTCGCATTAGCCTAGTAGATAGCTAGTGCTATTACAATTAAAGCACTTCAATCCGGTCGAGAGATTATTACCGTAGCTATTGTTACTACTATTATTAGTCGAGCGGTTAGTATTATAGGGATACGAGCCCCTTCTACGGCCCCTATCGCGGCCTCCTCTATATAGCCGGCGGCTACGGCCTCTTCTACGGTCATTGTTACTGTTCCTATTGTTAGTATTGTTATTATAGTAGGAACCTTAATTTCCTCTATAGCTACTACGATTGCCGCGGTTAGTACTAGCTAGCCGGATCCTCGATTCTAGTCGTTATTAGAGCTAGACAGCTCGTTCGGCTGTTTCCACTTCGACTATAAATTAAATACGTATTAGGTTAGCTTATTCGAACACACGGCGACGGTCTAATTCGAGGATAAGTTCCTATTTAAGTTTTAGGCGTATTTCCGAGATCTATATAGAATTAGTCTTAGGCGGAAGGTTATCCTCGAGGGTCTTTAAATAGGCTTTAAATAAGCGAGCCGATTGATTAGTCTTCTGTTTAGCTCGAAGATATAGGTCCTAAGCATGTTGTTGCCTTAGTATAGGGTTTCTAAGGGTTTCTAGTATAATGGTTTTGTAGGTCTGCTACTAAATAGCGGTCTAGTCGTCGAGGGAGTCGAAATAGTTATCCTATATACGCTTTAGGTCGCTATTAATATACTATATAGCATATACGACTAAGGAATAGTCGTCTAGTAGCGCTCTTAGTACGTTGCGCTAGTTAAGTTTACAGTTACGAATGTAGTCGTTATACTACTTTCGACTAGATCCGTTAAACACGGTATAGTCCTTAAGTTTAGCGTCCTTCTTTTAGATAGGTAGTAAAGAAGGTCCCGCTATTAGTTTAGTTGTTGGGGCTTCCTAAAGGCGACAGAGCTCGAGGAGATTATCCTTTAGCTATTGTTCTTAACGTAGGGTAGTAAGCCTGTTTTAAGTAGCTTCTTAAAGTCTCCCTAATAGTTGAGGGCTAAAGGCTAGTTAGCTATATCGTCGATTAACAATGTTGTTAAGAATGTCGTTAATAGGCAACTCTAGGTCGTTACCTAGAATTATAGGTTCTTCGGTAGGCCTAGTAGTAGGCTCTTTAGTAGGTGCTCTAGTAGGCACTTTAGTAGGCACTTTAGCAGGCACTATACTACTAGCATTGTCGTTGCTAGCGCTGCTAGCGGCGCCGCGATTGTTGTTTCGTAATAAGCCGGCTATTATAATAAGGGGTAGCACTAATAATATATTATTAGCCCCTAAGATGCGGATATAGCGGAATTAGTAGATATCGGTCTAGTATGCTTAACTTAGTGTAATAGGCCGTATAGAAGGCCTTGCTTAATAATTGGTACGGTTGTTTCGATAGAATAGTACGTATAGGTCCCGTTCTTCGGGCGCAATATAGTTAGATTAGTCTTATTCGTAGCTATACCGCTAAAAGCTTGAAATAAGGACTATCTAGCTGCTGCCCTTAAAGGATAGATCGAATACTGTATAAGAAGGGTATATTAGTAGGTAGATAGGGTAGTAGTAGGTACGAGTAGTATTCGATAGAGATCTAAGAGAAGAGGGAGGAAGGCAGGCTAGTTAGCCCAACGCCAAGCGCTAAGCCCTGCCTAAGGCATTAAGACCCTAGCTTTACTCGAGCCTAGTTACATACTAATCACGTGTAACCTCTTTAGTCCTAATAGATATACGATAATAAAATAGGGCCTATCTAACTAATTATAGCTAACGAAATAGGCTTGTTTTACTAAATTAACGTAGATTTAATTAACGACTAGTAGGCGTTAATATCGACGCGCTTAACTACTATTACTATATACTACCTTCTACTTATTAGCTAGTATAGGGAGAGCCCTATATTCTGCCTCCGAGAGAGGCTTAGAAGCCTTCTAGTATCTACTATAGCGCTCTAGAGGATAGAGAATATAAGTAGGAATATAGTATATCGACTAGAACGCTATAGTAAGCTAGCCTCTATTCTAATAAACTTATTACCTAACCTATTAACAAATTATTAGACTAGTAGCCTAGTATTAGCTTCGTATAGCTAGCCGGCTAATTACGGCGCGCTAAGAGCCTATAATATACCGACGCTATATAAGCTTACTATTCTTTTTCTAGGATAGCGATTATCTCCTAAGAACGTAAAATACGCCTAGCCTCCTATCTCTACTATATATAGATTCTTATAATCTAACTTATAAGACATAGTTTACTAGCCTATCTATAAAGCATTTATACTAGTACTATATACTATCTATATAAACAAGCTTATTTTCGAGACTACTAACGTAGATATAATAGGGATAAAGAAGGCTAATAGTCGCTAGTATCGCAGACTATAGAGAAAGCTTATCGAAGCGACCCTTACTAATATAACATATCTCCTAGGCTCTAGTATTCCGAAGGAACACTAGTTGTAGAACACATCTAGGCTAAAGTGGAAATAACTGAGCTAGTTTCCTCGTCTGCTAGAGATAGCGAGTCAAAATCGAGCACGGCTCTTGCTTTCTCCGAAATCAAAGCTTCGAGATCTGTCACAACTTCGTCTGCAGACGCATACACACCCTCCCAGCATTTATAGACAATCCTGCTAGCGAGCGAATCATCGAGAGGCGGGAATTGGTGTGACGCGAAACGTTCCGTAATGACAGTCTCGTCCGCAAACGTGTCCAGATCAGGGAAAGGCTCATGGCCTTGCATGATGTAGTATATCGTAGAGCCCATGGCGAAGATGTCTGTCATTACATCGGCCTCGTCCTCTGCTTTACCAGGCATGCGCGACTTCGCATTCTCGCGGACCCCACTATTGACGCAAATGCTGCCATCTGAGCGTAGGATGCGTCCTTGGAAGTCACAGAGACAGACATTGAACTAATCGTCGAGGAGAAGGTTCGTGGCGTTCAAGTCGCAGTGGAGCACGTCGCGTTGGTGAATAAAAGCGATAGCTTCGGAGGTCTGTAACGCCCATTTTAGCCTGCGCGCCGTAGGTTGCGTGGAATTTTGCTGAAGAAGTCTTGCAAGCGAACCGTTGCTTGCGAAGTCTAGGAGCAGACCATGCTCAGTTCTGCCTTTGAACCCCAGGATGCGAGAATGACGACCAAGGTGCTCATATATTTTGGCTTCAAGCTCGAGGTAGGATAGCTCCTCCGGGTCGTGCGGGAACTTCAGAACAGTCTCGTTGTCAACAAGACCAATGTAGTTTGAGCCACTAGTAGCAAGTATACGGGAGACTCCGTCGGGATAGTAGGCTTTAACAACAAACATGCTAAATGATTCTCGCGAAGCTTAGGAGATAGGAAGAGAGCTATTTATCGAGGTTTTAAAAGTTTAGAATAATAGAAACCCCTGCTAGTTAACAGTGTCTTATATATAAAATATGTCTATACACCGCAGTACGGACGTTCTTTATATACAACTTAGAAGTGTATTACGAGAAAGGCTTTCCTAGGTAGTCGTATAACCCTTAATTTTCGCTAACCTATACGGACTTAACTTTACGCTATTAGGACGCGTCTTCTTTATCTCGACTATAGAGCGCTATCTTAGCATACCGTAAGAGAGTATACCTTAACTTAAAAGTGTATAACTGTGTATAACGTCCTTTGCGAGGCTTTTCGAGACCGCCTCTATAGACGAGATTATAGTCGTAGGCGCAACTCTATAGCAAAGTATTATATTAGGCGTAAAGGGCGCTAAGTAGTCTTCCTTTAAAATCTGCTATTTCCTAATTAGATTTAAAAAAACCTAAGATATAGTAAGTATAGTAAGAGTAACTTAAAATTAGCTTATACGAATAAAAGTTAGCTATAAATAAGTATCCTCCCTACTAATAGCCGCCTTAGAATATAGGCTTATATCCTAATAATATTACTATAATAACTAATTTAAGCGATAATAACGTTCGCCTCGTCCTACTAGATACTTCGAATACTATACTATCTCTTATAAGTGTTCCTATTTGCCTATAATCTTGCTTATTTATACTATTCTCGTACTAGTATATAGTATTCTATTATATATAGTAAGAAATAGCTCTATAGTATATATATATCTAAGTCTTACCGAAGTCTAGTACTTAATATAATTTCCTTTATAGATTATACGCGAGCCGATACTATAGTTGTCTATAAAGTTTATATAGTTTAGTTTATCGTATAGGACTATTACTATATTTTCGATAATATGCTTTAGAGTTGCTATATAGCTTTTATATATAGAAGTAATATATTGTCTCTCGTATATATTAGAGCGTAGAAGAGTTGCTAACTAAATGCTTCGCTATATTTTATTAAGATAGGGGTTAAAAAGTCTCGTCGTAGTTTGCTATCTTATTAGGCTTTAGAGTATCTATATATATAAGAGTATAGATGCCTTACCCTTGCATTTAAGATCTAGACCCCTCTAAATTCAATTAGATTACTAGGACCCCTAGATTAGATTGAATTAGATTGCTTTAATAGGGGCTAGATTAGATTAGATTGAATTGCTAAATTAGTAGGACTAGGCGAGATTAGATTAGATTAAATTGCTAAGCCTACCTAATTTAGCCCTTCTAGCCCCTTTAGCCTCTAGATTAAATTAGATTGCTTTAAAAAGGGCTAGATTAAATTAGATTATTTTAGAAAGGGGCTAGATTGAATTAAATTATATTGCTTAGTTAGTAGGAATAAGCCGGATTAAATTAGATTAAATTGCTAAGCTAATCTAGATTACAATCCCGGATTAATTATAGACTATACTATCTAAACCCCTCCTACCGGTTCCCCGCTCCCGTTCGCTTTTTACGCGTTTATTGTTCTAGCGAAGCGGAAGGTACCTAGAATAACTCGAGAAGCTTGCGACGAGAGTTATAGAAGACGTCTAGAGCGAGTGCGAAACAGCAATTAGACTAGTAACTTATGCTATAGATTACTACCGATTTTCGATTCTACCTTTACGACTACGTCTTAGCTCCTTAGGAGTTCTTTTAAAGCTATTTATATAGTTAAAGATCTATTAGCGCTACCTCCTATTAGGCTTGTAGGTATAAAGAATTAAACTGCGACTAGGTATACGTAATAGATTAGTAATTAGGGCTAGCTTCCGAACTTTCCGACTAGCTAATTACAAACACACCTAATAATTCTTCGCCTATAAGCCTAAGAATAAGCTATACTAAACTAGCCTACGACGTACTACTTTTTCGCAACTACGCAAATATAATAATCTAAATAGCGGAGATTATAGCCCTACTAATTGCGCTTTATTCTACCTACTAAACAAGTCTATACGACGTTAGCGTATTAAGTTTTCGCTATTCTACTAAGCCGACTCGACTATAGCTATCCGAATTGCTAGGCGGCTAGCTATACTACTAGAAATACCTTAATATATAATATACCGCATCGCCTAGCTAATACTTAGAGGTCCTTCGCCTAACGCTAGCGATTATTATTTAAGTAGGCGAAAATTCCGTCCGACGCCTACTAACCGCTCTATAGCCTTCGAGAGCAATCGATAACCTTCCTATAGCCGACTCGACACTTCGAGATCCTTCTCTAGCTATTTCCGAACAACTTTTATAAAGCGATTAAGGGCGCCTAAGTAGTACTTATTATATTATCGCTAGATAGCAGACGCTATTCTAAAGCTAAGGCTAAAATACCTAAAAGTCGCTACTAATACCGCTAATACCGCTATAAAAGAAGCTATAGAGCTATTAAGCGAAATTAGTAACATACTAGAATATCTATTCGATGCCGTAGGTTAACTAGTCGTCGATATATAAGGTAACTATATACGTATTAATAATATAATAGATATAGATATAGACGAAGATAATAATCCGCTTCTAGGCTAGCCTAGCTATCCGACTTAAGGCCCTATAGGTATACTAATATAGCGTCTGCCTATCCTAACAACTAGTAGCAATCTATTTAGTAATCTCGACGATATAGAGGTACTAGCTAGAATAGAGCATATCGGCTAACTATCTCGAGCTACTACAAGAAGAGGAAGAAGAGGAAGAAGACGAAGAAGAAGAAGAAGACGAAGAAGAAGAAGAAGAAGAAGAAGAAGAAGAAGAAGAAGAAGAAGAAGAAGAAGAAGAAGAAGAAGAAGAAGAAGAAGAAGAAGAGGAGTCTAAGGATAAAGACTAAGGCAAAGAAGATACTAAGCTAATAAAGGACGGAAACTAACACTACTACTACTACTAGTAGTAATAGTATAGGCTACCGAGGGTAACATAACCTATAGCAATATAGGCAGCTATGTTTAGTATAATAGGATAATAAGACGGTTGCTTAGGCTAATAACTAGAGCCCTACAATATAGGCATTATAGAAGTATAATATAAACAATGTACTATACGAGGTTAGTGCTCTATCTACAATGTAGAAGGAGGCCTCTTATATAGGCTTAAAACTTAGCCTAGGTGTATAGGGCCGGTTACTAGCTAATATCCCTCCCTTTCTTCGTATCTAACTAGACACGCTTTACATTGCGCGCTTAAAACAAACAAACAGTTATATAGGGCACCTTAGGCATCTTAGCTAAGGCCATTTTTAGAAACTCTACAATAATACCCCCGGGGTAGCATTGTTCCTAGATTCTATTAATATATAAAAACAACTTCCTAAGTATCTAATCTACTACGCTAACTTACTGCTGCTTTAATGCACTGTAATCCTTACTAGCAATAACCTTATTAGCTAGTCGACTCTCCTAAACTCCTCCGTAGGTATTAAAGCTATTAGCACTAAAGTACTCTACCTCGAAGTAAGCTTAATTAACGAGGAGATTAGTAGCCTTATCCTATATAGCCTTCTCCTACTCGCGTAGATAGTCCTTAAGCTCCTCCTTACTAAACTAGAGGATTTGTTTAACTTCGTTCTAAACAACGTAACTTAACTAAGGAATTCTGCCGACTAGGGCATCGGAAATACAACTAAGGCCTTCGACTAAGATAGCGGTAGGGAAGGCGAACGGTATAAAGGTATTAGAACCTAGAAAGGCGGTTAGATTGCGGTGCGCCTTAGTAACCTTAGCGACGGTTAAGTTGTCGTAGCCCTTAATCTTAGTACCGTCGATAATACGAGAGTAGCCTAGGTCGATTAATATACGGTCGCTCTCGGGCTTTAGATCGCTATACGGAAGGTATAGTATCTAAATAGAGACTTCGCATTCCTTTAGAGGGTTAAGGATCTACTAAGCTACTTCGCCTTCGTTAGGCTAACTATCGAACATATAGCCGAGGTCGTCGTTAGTAAGGTGCTTATTAGTAAGCTTACTAATCTTGTTTAGTAGAACTAGGCTATAAGTATTAAGCTTCTTAACCTAGTTCTCGAAGACCTCTAGTTCGTGCATACCCTTAATAATAGTTAAATAGGCGGTCTTATCTTTAGATATAAGAGAAACCTTAATACGCAGATAGCTAGCACCCTTACTAGCTACGAGCTTAACTATATCTTGTCCGAGACGAGAAGTCTCCTTAGTAGGGCAATTCTTATAACTACTATTACCTACCTTAAAGTACTTAGTAGGCTTAGGGACAGAGATAAGCTCGTATACGTAATTAGGTCGAAGGGCAACGGCTAAGAGCTATAAGGCGGGATACTAACGGACGATTTAGTTGCTTACTCTATAGGTTTAAAGGGTATTACGGCCTTCCTACTTAGACTTAGGCAGTTTACGTATATACTAAAAGAATATACGAAACTCCTCCTATATTAGGTCGACGATAAGAGGAAGGTACGCTCTACGAGGCGACTATATCTAACCGAAGACCCGAGGGAAGATAGCATTACTAGTCTAACGAAAGCGGTCGAAGGAGGTGCCTTAGCCGAGAATACTAGTAATTAGCTTATACCGATGCTTAGTTAGCATAAGATCGCGAGTGATAGTACTAGTAGGGTTGAATATATAGAGTCCTAGGGAGGTCGGGGCGGTAGTAGGACGTCTAGGAAACTAGTTAGTATAACTAGTCTTAAGGGCAGTAAAGGTATCCTAATTAGCAACCTCGCGACTAATCTTTAATAGGCGACCGACGAGGACACTCGCCTTAGCACTAGCATAGAGACTACAGACCTTAGCAGCCTTCTTAATATAGTTAGCATATATAGTAAACCGCTCTTTACCTAGCTTACTAAGGTCGTCGAGCTATTAATAGATAGATAGGGCGGTAGGAGCTTTGCCTATATCGGCTTTAGGAACTATATCGATGTTAGTAATAAGGTGCGTAATAGAGTCGCCCTTATAAGAACTATAGATGTTCTTAGTTAATAGGA